GGCGCTCCTGGCGCTGGTGCCGCTCCCACCGGTAACAGTTCCGGTCCCACTGTTGAGGAAGTCGATTAAGTTCCTGAGTTCATACACTTTTACAAAAATTGTTTCAAATACCCTATGCAACCTGGCTTTGACTTGGTAGTTAGGAGTGAGAAAATGGGTTAAACACGCATGCCTATATCGTAGGAGTATCATCAGTAGTCTTCTGAATCACTAGAACGACATTTGATGAAGAATCGAATTTTGTTACGAGGGAAGGACGTAGTATCGTGGCAGAAGACCTCTCCGCAATTCGTACATTGGTGTCAGCCAAACTAAACCTCATCGTTGGCATTGGACGTAAATTCACGTAAGAGGATAATATCCTTCTAGGAAAATCCTCAGGATATCTCTCGATGGGTAATAAGGGTTGAACAAATCGTCCGGTTCGAATGGTTGACTTTCATCCGCACGACTTAGGTTCGAAACTACGAGAGCGCGACCTGAAATCTTTTGCGCAAGGGGGTTTGACTAGTGTGATATGAGATCAGACGAGTCAACATAAACGGTGTTGAGCGACACTCTTGTTGTTCATCATACACTACTAAGAACGCTTCTGCGCTCGACCTTCTCACGATATCTCTTTAACTTTTCCTTCTATAGCGATCTGGGATTGACCAGTCACTGAACTTGCTTCTCATGCGATTCTCCCTCTTTCTGGTCAGAAAGTGCATTAAGTGTGTCCTCTACCACCGCAGTTGATGCGGTGGCGATTCGGAAAGCGGAGTCAATCTTACAACACCCACTTGAACGCAATATCATTGCCCTTACAACATAGGTCGTGGATATGAATGAGACGATCAGCCATCAGGCTACTCACATCATCACAAAACTAGTCGACGAGAGTTGCAGGCTGCAACTTGCAGCGAATCGAGCAAAATGAGCAAATCGATTCTTTCACTTCAGCAAGAGATACGATAGAAAATGAGAAAAGGAACAGCCAGCCTAGACACAGCAGCAGCTTCAGTCTATAGGCTATTGACGACGGAACTCCACAGACTTCGTAGAGAATATGAGATTCACATAGTAATTCTCACTCCCCTTCAACACGGCACAGCTACTTGGCGTACTTCCTGATGGCCTCGTCCGACAATACCGCAACATGCTCCAAATCCCGGAAGTGCTGATAAGCAATCGCATTAACAACCGGTATGGTGATGGTCTTACCTCGTTGTAGTCCAAACAGAAACCAACAATGAAATCATCAGGCACCTGACAAGCTCATATGATCGCTATGAGCGTCACTAGAAACCTTACAGAGAACCCCACGAAGTCCCCCTTGAATCCGCACGCTTTACTACTCCGTTTTTCAACCAGGGTGGCAACCTACCCATAGAGAAGTCTCTATCGCGAATTCGAACCTCTTCTCACCCTGATCGACTTAGGCCCGAACGCCTCCAAATACTTTGAGAATTTCGTCAGAGTATTCCCAGTATCAATGATGTCCTCAACGATGAGCACATCTTGATCCTTCAAAACCTACCACGCAGCCATCAGCCCATCGCCCGACCCTGCCAGTGTCGCTACTGCTAAGTCATCCGCCATCACATTCAATTTTCCCATGCTCTCCGTGTTATGATAGCTTTTGATTGTAACGTAGTGCTCCTGGTACGGCGCGTGATGCATATTCGTAGTGTACCTGACACGCTGCGCGTCACCACCATTATCGCATCGCTTTCCCCTCAAACTGAACACCTATGAATGCGGTTGAGGTACCCGACCAGCTCAGAGAAGAATCCACGGCTGCCCTTCAAGATACACAGTAAATGCAATTCCGTATCGCCGTAACTGAGCCGCAATAATCTGACCGCTGCGCCACAAAAATACGCAACACTCACACTTGACGAATATCCATCGCGAGCTTCTCCGTACGATCCAATATCAGCCCCTTCGGCAACATGATTCTTTTCAGATCGTTTTGGTAGTGTGGGGGGATCAGGAAGTGCTCCAAGTGGTACATTTCCCTACCACAACAACACCAACAACATCAATCATCTCATCCCCCGTTTCCCTTACTCCTCGTTGTCCTTAACAAATACAGGCTCCTTGCGGCCGATGCCTCTACCAACATATTCATACGAATACCCAGCCTTAGAACCGTCCGATGGTTTCTCTTCAGAAGTGGCGGTCGAGTTAGACATTTACGTGACGAGCTACGAAGCAGCGTTCAAGTGGACCCCATCCTGCAACACTGACCACGAGCAACACCAAGACACCACTACATCAGAGCATCGGCGGCTGTACACATGCAGGTGGGTGCTGTGCCCCCGAGGGCACCCCTCGCACCCTCACCACAGTGCCGCCACCCCCCATACTCACCACAGGGATCATGCGGACCCCCAAGTCCATAGGGAGGTTGGAAAAGGCGATCTAGTGACGAGTATGGGCCCAGCAGGCGTGGTGGGTCACCTCGTAAGGCCCGTCATTGACCGAGTAGAGAAGAGCCCCAGGGTTGCCGTTGATGCCTCGGAGGTCAACCATGATGTTGATCTAAATGTATGGTGTGGGGATCGAACCAGGGACCTTCTGATTACCAAATCTCCCTCTCTGATGAGCCGATCCCCTGCTGGTCTATCTTGCCACGGTTCATCATCACTCGATAAACCTACCACTACCACTCCTTTCGCAACACCATCAACCCCACCCTCCCACTCGAGCGAGAGGTAGTAATGAGTCTCCAAGGCTTCCCATGCCCCTCGCCATGCACCCCAAACTGGACCTGTGGTCTGTGCGGGCACTTCGACACTATTTCCAACGACCACTGATACAACCCTCCCGGGCACAGCAACAGACTACCTGCAATACACAGCGTAGAGGCCACATAGTTGACCTCCAAAACTGCTTACCACCAACCGGAATGACCCATCCCATTTCGGGGTAGTCCCCCTTCTTTAGCACCTCCTCCCCTTGTGAACCTAGTACTTCAAATTCACTACTATATCTGATCAAAATCATCATCAAGAGCATATTCGAAAATTAAAATACTCAGCGCTCGGACGCCACACAAATGGTGGCGGATGGAATTGTTGCTGCATCGCTCCGCTAAGCTTCGCCACTTTCCCTCCCTCCTGCAGCTGGGATCGTCTATAAAGCTCCTCCCTCGCCCGTTGGACCTCAGCACCAACGATATGAGCACCAGTAAACTGTCAATCTACCCTTCCCTGTAGGTCAGCGCTTTCCAACACGAGCTGTTTCAAATTCGTCTCACTCTCCCTAAGGTGCCTGCGGGGCGATCATCGATCACCGTTGAGGAATACCAATATTCGCTCTACTGCAGCCATCGATACCACTCTCACATCGTTATCCTATCTAAGGTCTCCTCCACCATCCCTCCCACCTTAGCCTGAACAGTGGGTTGCCGAGCAGATACCTGAGACACGCTAAGGTTGCCATACGCGAACCTGAACTCCTTGGGACAAGATCCGCATATGCGAATACCGCTATAAGGTCCCCCCCAATATCAAGGGGAAGGCACTGCTCACACGCTCCACACGTCATCACCAGCCCCGTGGTAAACATGGCGAAGTTGTGGCACATCAACTTTTATAAACCATTACGTGTTCCTCTACAACATGATGGGTGCACACGCATAGAGTGTTTTTATTGCGATCGCACTTGCACGATTTCGCAAAGCCCTATTGCAACGCACCCTTCTTGCCCTTATCCAACGGACATTCAGAATACGACAGCTGCTCGTATGAGTGTAACACTGTGCAGTGATTCACCGGGTTACTCTGGCATATTCAGAGAACGCTATCTCTCATGGTCCTGTCATGACCACACTCATTTGGTACATGTAGGGAGGCTACTCTAT